GGGTTTTTTTGCTTTTGTTTTGCTTTTTTGCATTTAGGAAGTAACTTTTCATAGAAACCAATATTTTTTTGACCGGATTCCTCATTGTCCCAGGACTGAACTGTTTATCCAAAGCATTGCCCAGGTGAGCAGAGAGACACTGGGGCAAACGCTTTCCGGGAGGGAAGCAAAGCTGTGCTGGATCTGTCCCGGGTGTGCTCAGGAGCTCTGGGCATTTCTCCTCCTTCCCCTCTCACCCTGCTTTTCCTTTCCCTGAATATCATAGAATCTGAAAATGCTTTAGTGCATTAATTTCAGACTGAATGTAAATAAGCCATTTGGATTTTTCCCAGTTGAGCAAACTTTCAAACCAGAATTTTGCTTTCCTCTCCTCCAGCCTGGCTCATGGGATTGGAAGGATTTGCTTCAGTGCCGTCTCTTCTGCACTTGAAACCACTTAATCAAGCTCTAAAATATCCCTTGAATAGGTCAGACAGGCACCTGATTGGGCCAGGCAGCATGTACGGGAAAACCAAGAGAGATTACACGCTCATTTTATCTGCATAAAACAGATTAGAAAGCTCCCAAACTAAATATTGCTGCAAGGTAGCATGTTGTTAATGGCAAATGCCTCGCTAGACTGTCTCTGTTTTTGTCTCCGTCCTACACTATCTCGTCCCTGACCAGCCATTCCTGAGGGATTAAAGGGAGAGAGAAGGGGGAACGGGAGACTCTCCTGAGCATCTCCACGTCAGCAGGACTCGCGACCCACGGTGGTAGATTTGGATGCTCTTTGAGTCCAGAAGAGCTCAGATGTGGATCCAGACGTGTCGAGACCCTTGTCCCTCCCTTTTGCAACAGGTTGACACCACCTAATGCAAACACGCTGCCTGCTAAAGAGGTGGGGTTTGCTTCTGAGCTCACCGGCCCGAGCCTGTCTTTAGCTGCAACGTGTTGGAGGCATTTTTCTCTCTCGTGCTGCCCGTCGCTGGCACGCAGCCACGTGTGGGGCAGCGGTGATGGGTCCGTGCCATGCTGGTGAGGTGTCCGTCCATCTCCTGCCACCAGATTTCTTCCTCTTCAGCCAAAGGCACTTGGATAGAAGAGGGGCGGATAAATCAGAGATCCCAAGCAGCCAGGCAGATCACCTGTTGCATTAAGCTACAGCTCAGGAAAGCTGAGCGGGAGCCGTGGGACAACCTGAGTGGGTTTGACCCAAAAGCCTGGCTCCAGCTTTGCATCTTCCCACATCCTCTGTGCCTTCCCTGCTGGGGGGTCTGGGCACCACAACCAGCTGCAGAGAAGGAAACCCACAGGTCCCGGTGAGCCGTGAGATGCTGTGGCCATGCTGCCTGCGGTGTGGCTCTTGTTTGTGCTGCCCCATCCCGGCTCGGCACAACCGAGTGCTCTCACCGGCTGCTGACACGCTGCTGTTTCCTTTTGTTTGTCCAGCTTTTTGGGGATGGGTTAGCTCAGTCCTGCAAGCTCATCAGGAATGAAGCATGCCTTGCACCCAAAGCACAAATAGTTTTTCCCCTAATCAGAACAACTGGGGGTTGCCCCAGAAGCTCCTGCAGATTCTGGCTGTGCAAAGCGGCCGCTGCTCCCGGAGGGACATTTTGTACGTTTGACTTTGCAGGAGTATTACAAGATACTCGATTAAAGCCAATGAAACCTTTCCACTTCTTTGCATCTTTCCTCTCCTCCCTCGTTTTTTCTCAACTCCTGTGATGCTTGGTGGACTTTGGAGCTCACTGATGTCTTGGGGCTTTTATGACGGGTGGATTTGGACTTTGTAAATGGGAGAATAGTAAGAAAACCTGACCCGTGTGCATCGTCCGGGCTTGGCAACCAGGAGGCAAAGAAAGTAGTTCGCATCTATCGGCTTTCCTAATCTTTTGTACCTTACGGCAGCACCGTGATTTATTGAAGCCTGGCTTATTATTTTTAAATGCCTTATTATCTCTGTTCCCATAAACAAAACATGTGAATTGCTCTCCCTGTGTCATGTTACCTTCATTTCTCCCTTGTGTTTTACAAAAGGTGGTGCAGAATGGGGGAGCAGAGACCCGGACTGTTGTCCCAGGCTGTTTCTCCACCACCTGATGAGCGTTTGCCCTGGCTGGGAAGGGGCTGGGGGTGCAGCTGCTATTGGGGTGCAGGTGGGGAAAGGGATGGATGTCCCATCCCGAGGGCTGGCTCTCCTTAGGGCTTTATCTGCGTTTTGCCCGGGCTTGTGGTTGGTTTTAAACCCGTCAGATTTAGGTCAAGCCTGGTCTTGTTCTGGTGGCAGCGGGGTAATAGCAGGGGAGGGAAGAAGCCAGTCCCAGCCCTGGTGGCAGCAGGGAGAGGGGACCCTGGGGGGGCATCGCCTTGCCGGGGGACCCCCTGCTAGACCCCAGTGATGGGGGAGATGGAGCTGCTCCTCCCCATGCCTCTTTCCCTGCTCACCCTTTCTAGTGTGGTTTGGGGAGCGGGAACCTCTCTCACCTGGGGGGGCTTTGAGCCCCAAAGCGAGTGTTCAGAGGAGCATTTTGCCAAGCTTATTGGAGAGGCACCACACCCACGCGTGCCCAGTGCTCGCACATTTTCCTGTGCATTCCCGGTGGGTCGGAAGGTGCCTGGGAAGTGCCCAGACGCAGCGAACCAGCAGTGCAGGCAGGGAGCTGGGGGGCAGGAGCCTGCAGGGTTTGCGCTGAGCCCACACGTGTCCGGCTCCCCCAGCCCTGCCGCGGGGTCAGGCTGCGACCGCGAGGGCAGACGTAGCCCTTCTCCATCTCGCTCCCAGGGGATGCCGTGCGCTTGGGGGTCCGCGCTGTCCGTACGCTCCCCATGGACGTGCAGCAATAGGGAAGCGAGGCTGTATAAGGCAGGGAAGGACCAGCTTACCCAAATTTCTTTCCTGTCTATTTTTGTCTCTCTTCTGGCCAGCTTGTTCCAGCGGGAGTTAATTTAATTGCCATCTTCCTCCCTGCATCACTGTGGTTGTGTGTGAGACCTCTTGTTGTGCAGGGTAATTATATGTGTGAAGTGGACATGGCAAAAACGAGCCTTGTCTCAATAGTCGGCAGGCCAGCGCGCTCGCCAGCCATACAGCCCAGTATCGTCGCTTTCTCACAGAGCTCAGGGTCTAAACAGACCGTCCTTGTCCTCAGCCCCTTGGGAACGGGCACGGAGGGGGTGAGGGATGTGGTGGAAGCAGCGCAGGGTGGCCGTGGCAGAGGCTGGAGCTCTCTCCCTGTGCACAGAGCAGCTGCCAGGCCTTCTCCCGCTGCAGCACCTGATTTTCCATCTCTTTTTCCCAGTGTAAATCACTCACTGACCTCAGGGGTAAGAGCAGGGCAGGGGATTTGATGGTGATGGGGCCGCTCTGGGCAACCCCAAAGTCTCGGCTGTTGATTTTTAAGCCCTGAGCATATTCCAGGCATCTTATAGTAGAAACTGGAGCAGCTGCCTGGCTATGCTGGTGCCTGGTGGCTTGGATCCCTTCCCAGGGACTGTGCAGGAGCTGCACCCTCTGTGCTCTGCACCGGGCGGCTCTGACTCAGGGCTTCATCCAGAGCTCCTCAACCATCAGGGTTTTCATGTCTGGCTTTAACAGGCTTCAGATCAGGAGCTGACTAAACACTGCAAGTCTGACTCAGGCCAGTCCAGGTTGGGACATGACAGGACGTGGATGCAGCAACATGTGGTTATTATTCACCTGTATGCCACGCCTATGTGCAAACACCTATAGGTAGATGTCAGCCTGCTCTCTCCTCCTCTCTGTTTTGCCCTGGGCTTTCCAGGGACATGGGAATGAGTTTTCTCCTTTCTGGGACTTGTGTACTCCCGCTCCGCTTGGGATTTGGAGCCAAGGGTGCTGCGCAAAATTCAGCTGGAGCTGCTGAACTTCCCTTGGTTGAGCCCCAAAATCACCTTGCGTGCAAGAGCTGCAAGCAGGGCTCTGCATCGGGATGAGTGTTTCTTCCCAGCGAAGCCCCTGTCGCAGGAGCTCCGGTACCCCAGGCTGGACCAGCATCCTGGGGAGGACAGAGGGGATGGTCCTGTGGGGAAACTGAGGCAGGTGGATGAGCATGTGGGGGTGCAGCAGAGCTGGGAGCTGCGTGAGCATCGCTCCGGGCTGGTTGCAGCCCCTGTGCAGCGTGTTCAGTCTCCCGCTGACCCTGGGGTGTGGATGGGGCCGTCCGCCTCCCTTGTAGGGCCTCTTGTTATAGTCCCTATAATTATATGTGTGAGGTCTGCCTGCCTTCCTCCCCGGCTCCTGCTTGTAGGACCTCTTGTTATATTGAGTATAATGAAGTGTCCGAGGTCTCTCTTCCCCCCACCCGCCCTTGCCTGCCTGCGTGTAGGACCTCTTGTTATAGCCAGGGAAATTATGGGTCTTTGGTCTCCCTCCCTTCGCCCAAGCTATAATTTAGTTTTATATAAAGTGCGGTCCAGCCCCTGTTGTGCAAGCGGTTGCTATTCTGAGTGCTGGGGAGAAGGACAGGGAGAGGGATGGGGTGGCGAGGAGTGGGCTCGCGGTGGGTGGGGAAGCGTAGCATCGCACTGAGCACCATGCAGCCCCCCCTGGCCACCCCACAGCCCCCCCAGACACCCTGCCGTGGTGGGGCAGCCAGCCCCCAGCCCGCAGTGCTGGCTCTGCGGGAGGTGGTTCTGCCTTCTCCTCGCTGGGTTTCTGAAAGGGGCTGTGTGGCGTTGGGGTTTATCCCCACGGGGAATAACACGTCTCTTGTTTTGGGTTTTGTTTGCCCCATCGAGGGGGTCCTGCGGGGGCTGCTCCTGTCCCAGAGCAAGCGGGAACGCGAGGGGAGGTGGCAGCCGGCTCCTGCAGGGAAGACAGTGGCCCTTTCATGGGAAGGGGGGATGAAAAATCCAGCTTGAACCACTGAGTGTAACCAGATCCCCTGGCTTTTTAGAGAAGGAATGTGGGACCTCGGGAGGGTTTTTGGGAGGAGGGTGCTGCTGAACTGCTGGTGTTGCAGCGGGGTGAGCGGCCGCAGAGCGACGCAGCCCCGATGCCCACCCCGAGCAGCCCCAAATCCCTCACGGTGCTCCAGCTCTTCCCCGCACTGTGTACGCTGGGCTGCAAAACCAACAGGGGTAGCTGGATTTGGCTCATGCCAGAAATCAGAGTTCCAAAGCACCGACTGGTGCCATTTCCAGCGTCTGGGGATGTCCTGCGGGTTGCTGTGGGTTTGAGTGACCGGGGTCTCTGCCCGCAGCACGGGGCACCCCAGGGTGCTCGGCTCCAACCCCTTTTCTTTTGCAGAAGCGGGCGAGACCTCGCGCCCTTCGCCGAGGCAGACACCAGCGGCAGCATCGGCAGAGCCCCGGCCGCCTGCCCGCCCCGCTGCCGGCCCTGCGCCGCCGAAGAAGGAGAAACCCCTGGAAGATGACGAGTCCCGAAAAGTCCTGACGAAGGGCTCCCGGGCCGAGCTCGCAGGCGCTCCCGAAGCTGTGACATGTGAGTGTTTCCCTCCGCAGCAGCACGTGCAGCTCCGGACACCTCCGGGTGCCTGTGCTTCAGGCTGCTGCCAGCTAATCAGTAACAGGGCTCATTAAAAAGGCGGGTAGCTGTGGTGGGAAGCTGTCTCCTCCTCACTCTGCTCTTCCCCACATCAAAGCAAAAGGCTTTAACTGACCGTGAGTCACCGGGAGCCGGGGAAAGTGAAGGGCAGCATCCAGCAGCGCAGCAATGCCTCTCGCTGCCCTCGTCCTTGGGACCGGCTGGAGGCAGAGGAGGAGGAGGGTGGGCAACTGGAGGAGCTCTCAGTCATGTTGGGGTCCTGCCGGGGTGCCACGGTGGGAAGAGGGACCGGCCCCTGGGGAAAGGAGCCGGCTGCTGTATGGAGCATCCTCCAAAGCCGCAGCGGGAGAGAGGAGAGCCCTTAGCAGAACGGGGTCCGTGATCACAGCCACGGGAGGGGAGTGCAACAGCCGTTTGCTGGAGCAAAGGGAGATGCCTCCCGTTGAGACAGCTCTTGCCTTGGCATATCCAGGGCAAGGGTGAGGCTGGTGCAAAGCCCAAACGAGCAGGGGATGGGCTGTCTGCACTGAGGATCTGGTTTTGCTGGAGGCAGTGGTGAAGCCAAGCAGCACCTCCCCATTTCTGCTGCTGCAGACCGGCCGGTCCCCCCGCCGTGAGAAATACCGGGGTGGGGTAGGAGCAGAACTGGGGGGGCTGGGGTGCCCTTGCTCCATTTCCCATTGCAAAGGCGGGAGAGCAGAGCTGGCAGATGTGGGAGACCGGGGGCCAGGCTCTCCTGGAGTCATGCCGTCCATCCTTTCCCTGGCCCCCAGCCTGGATCCGAGGGTTTTGCTCCCAGGCTGCCCCTTACGCACACAGCCATTCCCCGTTTGTTGGATGCGAGCGTGCAGCTTTCCCTTCCAAGGGGTGTAAAGTGGATGAATGCTTCCCAACGGGGAGAGGGAGGGTGGGAACGAGGTTGCAAACTTCGAAGAGCGGGCAGGCAGGGTGGGAAGGGGAGGGACGGCAAAATCCGGGCGCTCCTGACGGTGTACGTGGAGCGAGGAGAGCGCACGTTTCCTCAACCAGAGCTCAAGCCCTTGCAAAGCATCTGGGAGCTGGGCCGGCTGCCCACAGACATTCTGCACCTCTGAGTCACGCTGCAGCCTGCTGCACCCTGCATGGCGCAGCCCTGCGCAGCCCCCTCCCCAGCCCACCCCCCAGGCCCCGAGGCTGGGAGAAACGTGGCCGCCTGCATCCAGGCTTGCCTGGGTGCTGGGTGCAGGGACCCCCCCCCCTTTCCCCTCTCCTTCCCCGGGGAAATGAGGTTCAGCTCCCTACAGAGCATCGCCTCCGGCATCCCTTGCTTTGCAGCCCACTCCTCACAGTGTGTCCCGCTGCTGCTGTTACTGGGGGGGGGTCACCACCGCTTGGGAGGGGCAAATTCCTCCCTTCGGCAGTACCTGGGGAGCACAGTTAAGCTCCCCCATGGGAAGGTGAAGGGGGTGAGGGTGGCATTTTTGTGCCAGTCTGGCACATGCAAGGTCAGGAGGGACCAGGCAGCAAGGGGCTGTCAGGTGTTGGGTCATGTCTTTCGCCAGCGGTGCCGGTATCGGCTCCCCCGAGGCTCAGCGCTGCTGGTCGAAGCCCACCGCGGTTCTTAAATGTCAGTGTTCTGGCAGTTTAGGAGCAACCAAAGCGGGAATTGCGGGTTTGGGGCTCTGGGTGTTGCGTTTCAGGCGAGAGCAGCAGACTCTGCTCAGGCGGCCACAACGTGCCGGTTTGTCCAAGCCCTGTTAGCGGCTCGGGAAGATGACTTTTGGCAGAGCCGATGGCCGGGGGGGGTCACAGCAGGGCGAGGACCGCTGCGGTCTGGGCATCTGTCTCCTAAGCCCCGGTGATGCTGCCATGGGGGAACCTGAGCTGAGCCAGCACCGCAGCTGTGCCGGGGAGTATCGTCTCAGGTGTGAAACCCGAAGTGAACATCCAGGCGGTTTTTGGTCGTTGAAGAGCTGAAGGCAGGCACTTTCCCCCAAAGCCTTGGTGTCCCACCCTGATGCTGGTGGGCAGATGCCGTGGGGGCCATCAGGTGGGCTGGTCCCCCCCGGCTCCTGCCCTGACACCCGTGTTATTAGGGAGTGTTATACACTGCTCCACCTAAGCCTCAGGTTGAAGATGTCTCTTTTAGAAGAGCTTTAGGCTCCTGTGAGTTAAAGGCTCTCCTAAAAAAATAGGAGCTATTTTTCCTAACTTAGAGGGGGGGATTACTGGCTGCCTTTCGCTGCCACTCACTGGAGCCGGAGCGTGATTTTGATTTACAAACGGTTTAATCCGAGGAATGCAACGAAATGGGGAACGCCAAAGCGAGTGTGTTGCATGCTGCTGCAAACCCCCGGAGAAACCCAGCGCTCAAAGCTGCAGAGTATTTGCTGCCGTCAGACACTGCCGGGCCGGGCCACCGTGGGGGTCCCTGTGGGCTCGGCCCCTGCCCACCACGGCTCTGGGGCACCCCAGTGCGACTCGGTGCCCACACTTGGGCGCAGGCAGGTTGAGGGTGATGGAGAAGGGTGCATGGGAAGCCAACACCCCAGGAGGTTTTTTTTCTGGGGGAGCCACACATCCCATTTTATCCAAGACCTGTTTTCCATTTCTCCTTTCTGCCCTTCTCCCACCCCTCCTGCTTCCAGCCCGTCCTTCCCGCTCAGCTCCAGTTATTTTAAGTTCCTTTCCCAGCACAAGTCAAAGACGCAGCGTTTCACCCAAGCACCCGGTTAAACTGCCTCCGCGGTCTGAGCCCAGGTCAGTCTGGCAGAGCCGGGCACTGGGTCCGTGCACTTGTGTTTTTTTAACCTCCATCTATTTTTTTTTTCTTGCCGGTGAGGGTCCATCTGAGAGACCGTCTGTGTCCCCTCCACCCTGTCGGTCTCCCCGTACCCCATGGCCACCCCACGCAGAAAGCAGCTCCTGTTCCCCGGCGGCTGGAGGTGCCTTTGCCCTCGAGCCTCTCGCCTGAATCATCCCTTGTTTACTGCCACGGGAGAGGAAAATCAAAGTTTGGCCAAAGCACCATCAGGCGGGACTTTATTTGTGGCTTCGATTGGCGTTGCTGTGGCGGGGGGGGGAAATGGATGCTTGAACCCCCCTCCCTTGTGCTGGGTTCCCAGTCCTCTCCCCCACCGCAGAAGGACGGCAGCGTGGGGATGCGGCGCCGGGCAGGAGCGAAGGGCTGAGCCGTGCCGCTGGCTCCGGCAGCATCCCAGCGGGACGCGGGGACGCCGGCCTCTCTCACGGCTGCAGCGTGCGAGGGCTGGAGGGAGGTGCAGACAGAGCAGATAGTTATTTTCCTCCTCCTGCAGAGAAGTTCAGCCAGAGGCTGGGGAGACCTTTAATTAAGTGGCCAATTCACACAGTCCTGGGGAGATGAGCAGTCCAGCTCTCCGGTGGTGCTTCATCATCTCTGGCTTTACCGAAGGCGACGGGGACAGCCAGGAGCTCCGTCTGGCAGCGCCATGCTTAGGGCTTATGGGACGGTGGCTTGGCCACGGGGGTGGCTCTCAGCTGGAAGCAGCCACAAGCTTTTCTCTCCCCCACTCGGCACGAGGCGAGCGTGCCTCGCCGTGCCTCTGCGCCCACTCCGGTCGGCCTCGGTGGTTTCATCCCTCCTGCCTGTGCTGGCAGCGCTGGGACCCCGGGAGACCCCAGAGTTTTGGCAGTTGCAGCACATCCTTCATGACAAGTCTTTATTTCTCACTCTTTTTTTCATCCCGTCCTCTCTCTGGAGCCTCTATCTCCTTCCCTGCAGCCATCTCTTCTTCTACATCTCCTTTTCCATCTCCACCCTCTCGGACCATGCATCTGTTAGCATCGCTGCTTCCCAGCCACGAGGCCACCCCGTCTCCATCTGGGGACCAGGTTCCCGTGCGGTGGCAAGGGACCGGGCACGTGTTTGTCCCCTGGCAGAGCGCTGCAGGGAGGGCTCGGGGTGGGTAACGTACTGTTCTCCCCCCTCTGCCAGGCCAGCCCCAGGTGCGAGCAGCCCCACAGCCCCCCAGTCCCTGCACCCACCTGCTGCAGAACGGTGCTGGGCGGGGGCCGGATCCAGGCGGTGCCAACGGGGAGGCAGGGAACGGGGTCTTCCGCCCCCTCCCCAGCACCCAGAAGCCTCACCGAAAGCTGCAGTCGCACCACTCCATCAACAGCCAGAGCAGCAAGAAGAGCAAGGGCAGCTCCAAGTCGGCCTCTTCCCACATCCCTATTGAGGCGCAAGAAGGTACCGGCTCTCCCCGGGGGGGTCCCTTCCCAGCCACCTTTCTCCTCTGGCCCCACATCCCTCGGGGTCTCTCATGTAGCATCCTTCAAGCCCACCGGGACCCCAGGACCTGGGTGCCCCAAGCTCTTATACAGGCAGCCTTCTGCAGGGCGGGTGCTGAGTGGGGTCATCTCACGTCCACCAAAACCGGTCTCTCTTGGGGTCTGGGCATGTCCCGGAGTGTTGAGGGAGGCCCCTGGAGCAGCGCCTGGCTCCCAGCCCCTCTTCCCATCCCTTCCGTTAATTCCCGAGGGAGGATTTCCACCCTTACGGGGGCTGAGCATCCATCCGTCGGGTGCTGTCTCACCCAGCTGGGCCCGTCCCCCTGCCCACTCTCTGGCCGTTCCTCCGCAGACTGCTGCGTCCACTGCATCCTCTCCTGCCTCTTCTGCGAGTTCCTGACCCTCTGCAACATCGTGCTGGACTGTGCCACTTGCGGCTCCTGCACCTCCGAGGACTCCTGCATCTGCTGCTGCTGCTGCAACTCGGGCGAGTGCGCAGACTGCGACCTGCCCTGCGACATGGACTGCGGCATCATTGACGCCTGCTGCGAGTCCGCCGACTGCCTGGAGATCTGCATGGAGTGCTGCGGGCTCTGCTTCTCCTCCTGAGGGGCCGCACTCACTGGGGGGGACCAGGAGTGGGTGTCCCCCCCCCAGGCTCTCCAGCAGCGGCCGAGGCTCCAGCTGCTCCCTGAGCCGGTGTGAAATGCCAAAAGACGGAGCCCGGTGAAGGAGGAGAGCAATATTCCCCCATTGCAAACCTCATCCTCGGAGCTGGTGAGCCGGGCTCGGATCCTGCCTGGGGAAGGGTGAAGCTGTAGGGGCTCCGGGGACGGCCGGCATCCCATCACGCTCTACCTCTTCCCCGCACCGGGCCAGTTCGCCGAGGATTGCGGGAGCCTCCTGCCACCTGAGCCGAGAGCAGGAGCACCCACCCCGCACCCCACGGAGCCCGCCGGTGCCACCGCAGGGTCCCAGCATTGGGGACAGCCTGTCCCGCTGCCACCGCCCGGGGCTGCCCCAGGACGGTGCTCCGGGTGCGTTGCTCTGGTTTACATGGGGATGGCACGGAGCATCCTTCCCCAACAAGGACACCTCCAAGGCTGGGCGCAGTACAGAGCCTTGCTCCCCGCCGGGAGCCCACCGGGCACCGGGAGATGCCGAAGCCTTTAGCCAGGCTGCGGGGTCCCCTGCCGTGGGACGCATCCTGCCAGCCCCCACCCCTCCTCGGTGCTGAGATCGGCAGCCAAGTGCAATACACACAGCCCGCTCCCCTCCCTGTTTGGCTGGCCGGGAAGAAGCTTTTCCTTCACCGGTCCCTGCGGTGGGGTTGCAGCCGGGGGCCAGGGCAGTTGGGGAGAGCCCGGAGCCGGACCGAGCTGTTACCGACCCGTGTGCATCCCAGGGGATGGAGGGGCCGGGTGGCTTGGTTGGTGCCAAATGACCCCCAGCAGTTGTTGGCCCCGTCCCACCACTCTGGGGACAGGGCTCGTGGCTGGGTGAGGGTGGAAAACGCCCCGTTGAAGGGCTTGGGGAGACTGGGAGGGAAGTGTCACGGTAATTTTTTTTTTTTTTTGTCCCTTTTGTTTGTTACTGTAAATAAAGGTCTGTCTTCATTTCTGACCGACGGCTGCCCCATCATGTGCTCAGCGGGGCATTCCCAGGGGGCGGCTGCCGTGTCCCCTGTCCCTGCGCCTGCCACCCCGTCCTGCTCCCAGCTGTAGGTGCGGGGCAGGAGGGCTGGCACAGAGGCTGCCGGGCTCCTTTGGCCTTGGGGACATGGGACAGCTCAGTGACAGTCCTGGGGTGCGAGAGGACTCCCTGTCCTTTGCTCCAGGGAACAAGTCGAGGTCCCCGTGTGCCGCAGCCTGGCATCGGCTCCCTGCCCTGCTCCTGCAGCCATGGGACAAACCCTGGCCCCGTTGCAGCACCGTCCCCTGCTCCTCCCGGGGCTCTGCCCTGCAGCGGGACCCACGAGCTGCTTCATCTGCCCCAGGGACACGACTTCCCTAAAGGACAAAATAAATGACGCAAATTCCCGGCCGCAGGGCTGGGGTGGGCACCGGCTGCCCAGGCTTGGCATGAGGCTGTGAGAGCTGGCAGCCATCCGAATTTGGGTGGCCTGGGTGCTCCTGCTACCACCCGCCACCTCCCAGCCCGGCCACAGGACCACCATCCGTGCTGTGCCGTGCCGTGCCGTGCCATGCGAGTAAGGGACCGCGGCACGCTGCCGGAGTCTTGCTGCCCCTCGGGGGGCTCGGCTGTCCTGGCGAGGCTGCTGCCTGGGCTGAAGTTGAACGGGGAGGGAAAAATACTTAAAAATCGAGGCCAAATGGGTCAGTTGGTCACGGCGACACAGGCTGGTTTGGGATCTGGGCTGTCTGCCCTCCGGCGCTGCCGCTCAGCCGTGAAACCTATTTTTAGTGGTGAGCTAAAGGCGGTCGGAGCCCGGTGCAGTGCAAGTGCATGGAGGGGAAGAGGATGATATGGGCAGCCTTCCTCCACCCCATGCACGGCAGGGAGGACTCAAGGTGGTGGATCAGGGCTTTTTTCCTTCGCCCTGGCACAGCCTCTCAGGCTGAGCCCCGGAGTGGGGGGCTGCGGGGGGGGGATGCACATCGCTGCCCACCCTGGGACGGATGGGACCGGGGCCCCATCCGGCACTCGGAAGCTTTTCCAGGGGCTCTGGCTGAGGCCCTGCTCCAAACCGTTTGCATCCTTGGCAAGGAGGGATGGAGGCACTGGCCTTCCCCAGCTTGGCCTCACTTGTGGTGCTAATTAGGGAGGTTGGAGCTGGCAGGGCTGCTCTCCCCACCAGCCGCAGTAACGAGCGCTGCTGGAGTCACTTAATGGGGAACAGATTCCTCCAGTGTGGGAGGGCCCTGTGGGCTGGCTGTGCCATGTGTGCTTGTGTCCCAGAGTGGGAAGGGGGGGGCGCGTGCACCCCACGTGCCTGAAGCACCCCAAGCAGCCAGTTGCCCCCCCACCGCCTGCTCCCTGCCTTTGCTCCAGCATCGAATGCCCTTTTAATGCTGCTCCCAAGGGACCAGGTCCCCACACAGCAGCCCTGTCCACCCACCCATGGCTTGAAACTCACGGGCAAGGCAGAGCAGGGAGGTGGGGAGCAGAGCTGGGCTCTTCACGGAGCATGATGTACTGCTGAATGTATGTGATATTCACGCCTACAAATGTACTTTAGTGACAGCTGCCTTCAAAAAATGCAAATAAAATAGCAGTTGCCAGTGCAGGGCTACCCAAAAATCACAGCTCAGCCCTGCAGAGTGATGCTCTGCAAACCCATCCTCAAGAGAGGTCCCACCTTTTCCAGCTGTTCAGGGCTGGACTTTGGAAGGGGCAAAGCCAGATATTTTTCAGCCCCTGCCGTGAGCCTGGGGCACATTCACTGCCCTGAGCAGTACTGGCTGCTCTGCTCCTGTCTTGGGCGCTCCTGAAAATCACAGGGATGGTTCTGGGAAGTGGGAATGACAGATCAGAGCAGGGAATGATGGACCAGAGCAACTCAAGTCCCTGGAAAGGGCTTGAAAAGCAAAGTTCAAGCCTTCCTCTGGATGCAAGCTGATGCTGGCCATCCACCTTGCAAACCACTGGGGAAGGCAAGAGTTAAATCCTCCTGCCTGGGAATTAATTAACAACAGATGTGCTCGCTTTTAACTAATTACTCTCCTGCCAGCACTTGGTTTTACTGTTCCTTCCGAAGCCTCTCAGAGCTGGAAGCCACCACACAGTGCCCGTATGGATGCTGGCCCCGCAGGCTGGGCTCTGCTGGGCACCCTGGGCTTGCCTGCCCTCCTTCCCTGGCCCCTCACGTGGTGTCTCAAGTGAAGCAATTCAATGAAGCGGGCTAAAATTCGTGAAATGGTCCAGTCACCTAAACTAGTATTGCTCTGTTGTTGCTGGTTTTAGAGCAGCTTAGTGGCAGGGTACCCCAGGAGCGACACACGTCTGCCTCGACCTCGCCGGGATGGGCAGTGCATGATCCCAGCTGGCCATCGCTGCTGCTTATCCGATGCTCTGTGCTGGCGATTTATTATGGATGGGACATTGGATGTATTAATGATGGGAGCTTATTGTCTAACTGCTAATAGACTGCCAGGGCTGTGCATTCCTGGGGCTGCGTCTGTGCTACCAGGCTCCCATGCTGAGCATGTCTAGAGATGCAGCCAGCATATAGCAAGATGTACAACACAAGGCTTGGAAACTATGCAGAAGCCGTGGCAGGCAGGTGAGAAACCCTTCTGCTTCAGGGCTGGCTCACCCCATTGCTATGAGGTTTCTGGGCACTGCATGCTGCGGGCGGCTGGAGGATGCTGTACGGGATGAGCCCCGCGTTCGAGCAGCTTGGATGTGCCTCTGCTTCTTCGGTGGGGACTGCTTTCAACAGCCCGAGCTATTTCTGTCCACAATCACAATCAATAAAGCAAGAGCGAGGTTTTTGGGTTTTTTTTATTTTTCCACTCCAAATACTTTCTTCATCCTGTTTCCTCCCAGTTCACACGGTGGACTGGGGTGTGCTCCAGCAAGGAGGCCCACCAAGCCATCTCCTCCTCCTCCTCCTCCTCAATGCTGATGCAGTCCCCTGCTCCTGCCCCAGCCCCAGGAACCCCGACGGTCCCTTCTAATTCACTGCAATCCAAGGGGCAGGTTTTGCTGGGGGGAAATGAGAGAAACGCATTGCACACATGCGTGCGTGCACACTCACACACACATGCACGAGAAAACACTTTCAGAGCCAAAGGAAAGAAAAAATAAAACTAGGTCTTTGGAAGACACAGCGGCTCATGTAATCCCAGGTTCTGCTGGGCTGCCTCCGCACAGCACGGCGATGGGGGGACGGGCTGAAGGGAGACGACTGCAGTCTATTAAACTTCCTTTGAGAACCTGCCAGACTGACAACAGCTGGAAGGAATTAACATTTCAGGTCCACCAGCTCCTCTCCTCGCTTTCACCCTTCCCCAAAAACCAGCTTGAGGCCACAGGCCCGGCAGCATCACTTTTTCCCACTCCCTGGCGTTCGACAGTATCTGGTCCGAGCTGATTTCTTCTTTGATCCTGAACCTGCCAGAATCGTGAGCATCTGCTGAACGAAAAATCCCAGTGCCTGTGCCGGCACAAGCACCCAGTTTGGGTCCCTTGCGTCCTAGAGGGTTGGGACCAAGGTGGGATGTCACAACAGTGCTGCGTGGTGGCTTCAAGCCATCTCGCACCTCTCAACCTCCTGCACAAGAGACAGCACCATCGAGGAAGGAAAAAACCACCCAGGCTGCCAGCTGCTGCCACTCAGGGCAGCATGGATGCCCTGCACACGTGCAAGATGCAGGAAAGGGTTTGTTGGCCGGTGAAAGCCCACCGGCTGCCACAAAGCCCATGTTTGCTGTCACTTTGGGGTGTCCTCATGCTGTGCATGCACCCGTGCCGGGGAGAGCCTCGGAGCTGCCCGTCCCCTGATTATGGGGACCCGCACCCCGGTGAGGGGTGCTGCCAGCTCGGCACCCTGGCCCCTTCGCTCCGTGTGACGGGAGCTTGGCAGGAGCTGGTTGAGGGGCGGGGAGCATGGTGGGACAGCTCTGTGCTGCTGTCGCCAGCAGAGA